GCCGCCCAGCGGACTCGGCCAGACACCAGAGAAGCGGAACTGAACCGAAGAACGTGAAATCTTCCGTTTATTACATGAAACAGAAAAGCGCTGGCAGGGCCATCTGTATTTATTATCATCATTATTATTATTTCTAAGATCAACAATCACGACTAACAGCGACGGAACGACTATTGCTGGCACAAGGCTATTGCTGGTGTTATTCCAGATGTACACAATGCATAGAGCCTCCCTCACCCCCCTCACCCCCCTTTGCCCACCCACACATATGCACAGACATAAAATATGCCATTAAAAATGCATTTGGAATTGCGATAACAGGAATGTACTAAGCTGCACACCCTGGGCTGTGTGCAATATGCTAATATGTAGCTTAACATCAGATAACTCCATTTTCCATTGAGTTAGTATTCAGTGGTCAGCAGACCCCATTACTTCAAATCGACCTTGATTCCAGAAACCTGTCCACCAAGTTGAAACATTTTACTGCCGTTCAATGTTTCCTTAAAAGAGAGTGACATAATACAGGGTAAGAATTTCTGTGCTCCACATACTGTGATATGGATATACTGTGTACACTTTCAAATGCTCAAGTAACCCAAAAACAACGTCTAATTCCCGGGCCAAGTGAAGAATAAACGTTAGAATTTACACTAATCAGATTTAAATTAACCCTGCAAATCCACTTTGTTTCGTTCCGTAACAGCCCGAGTCCACGCCGTCAGACAGGCGCTTCTCCGGTGTGGAGGTACTGTAATCGCGTTGACTCTCTAGGCTGTAAAAGCTCTTAAACCTCATTGCACCGAGAACACCGGGCAGCCCTAGTGCACTTCCGTGGCTTGGACCACCGGAGCACAAGCACGGCACTAGCGCACAGCGTGCATTGACTAAACCCCCAACCTTTCACTGTCTGGTGCAGCTTTCTGACCCCTCAACACGAGCCGTTCTGCTCGACAGCAACGGGCGAATACTGCGCCTCAGCGCCACAAAATCCACCCCACGGTGTTTCGTGCGAAATTTCAGCGTTCTCCTTCGACGTGCGCTCGGTGCCATTAGCAGGAAAGAAATGCCTCATCAAAACCAGGAGCGGAATGCGCGCCTCTCCTCCGGTGCCCAGCGCATTGCCGCGGCTCCCAGCCGGATAACTCACTGCCTGTCCGCTCCTCAAATCCTGCTGCATCACCGCCTAGCGCAGCCCCAGAGCGCTCGGGGATGGCCATTTGCTTCATTTAACAGCGACCCGCTGCTGGACACAGACTGACGCCAACCGATCAAATAAAACGGGAGCGTTTCTGAGACGCTGCTTATAAATAAAAAAAAAAACGTCGCTCGTTCAATCGGTGGACCCCGTCCTGCCGTCCAAGGTTCTCTAGATAAAACGCAGCCCTAATATCTCAGCTTCGCTTTCCTGTGCGGGAGGGGTGAAATCACAGAAGAGAAACCCGTTTCTCCCCCCAAAACAGCGATGCCCAGGCAGGCAGCGGCAGGCGTGGAGGAAAACGACAGATGAGCGACAGCCGGGTGCGGGTACTTACATTTAACCACCCTGTCGGTGGTGTTTATGACCATGTCAACGTTGGACATCTTCATGAGCAGATGCTGTGTGGTGCAAAGTGTTTAATTCCTATTCGCAGCGAGGTCTGGCTGGGGAGGACGAGGTGGCTGCAGGAGCATCACTCGGGTGCGCGGCTCCGTGACTCTCCGCCTGGGATGTGCTGCTGCTACCCGGAGCGGGGATGGATGCTGCCGCGTGCGGTGGGGAGGAGAGGAGGGGGGGGTGGGTACTAGGAGATCCTCAGCCACTGCGCCACCCTGACATGGCGAAGGAAGGAACTCCCACGCAATCGCTTCCAGGGGCTGCCTCATACTGCCATCAGGTGGAGGCAAAGCCGGGGTTTCCCGAGCAACGCGCCATGTTTCCCGATTCCCTGCTGCTCGCGAGCGCTGCCCGTGCCTGCCCGTGCGGCGCGACGCGCGCCAGGTGCCAGGTGACAGCGGCCCCGATTGTTATTATTATTAATAATAATATTAATATTATTATTAGCAACAATTATCATGCGTGTGAGAGGTCGGAACAGTTGTATATGCAGTAAAGTTTTTCATTTCTTATTTCTTCCACAGCGCATTCAGTGTGTGTTTATATACACGAAGGACCAAGTGAAGGTTTTTTTCCTGCTGAAAGGAGAAGAAAAAAAACACAACGTGGCGGCTGTGAAACCTTCTTCGGGGGCCAGATATGAATACGTACTCGCAGGTCTGAAAAGATATCAGAGACGTCATATATCAAAATAAATAAATATCCAGGGCGCCCATTTTTTACACAAGGTCATTTCACCGATTCAGAGGATCTTTCGATCAGCAACGGGGATCCTGAGCGGTTCCAACGCTCCTCTCCCCCTCCTCGCCCCCCTCCAGCACAAAGACCTGAGAATCAGACCAGCTGACAGGCTGTCATGTCTAAAACAGATCAATCACAGGGCACCTGTGACGACGCACGTCTTAAAAGCAGGGTTTAAGCACTGATCCTTCCTCTGAAATAAAGTTATTTAGTAATTTATGAGCTCTGACAGATTTAAATCATTATATTTTTTTTGTCAGAAATACGCTAATTTCCTTCAGCTCAGATTTGTTTTGCGGTATTTTCTAGTTGTTATAATGAAGGGATTTTATTTCATTTATGTGGCTGGTACTTCTACGAAAAGGATTTTCCCTTTGACCGCGGTGTTTGTATTGCTGAAGCCCAGTGAGGTACCTTGAACAAGACCAACACCCCGCCTCGACCCCGAGTCTACAGCCTTATGCTGTAGTTACAGGTCCAGATCCCCAACCACTACTCCCACATTCAACTAGTCAACAGATAGATTCAATACTGGCAATGAAGTGTCACAGTGAAAGTGCTGTTCTGTGTGAGAAAAACACAGTCCTGTGCGCAGAATGGACCTTTCCTACAGTGATGTCATCACAGCTTTCCCAAACTGGGGGGGCGTGGTCTCCTCTTTCACCCTCGTCATGGTGAACATTTCTATGACCAGCAGAGGCAGCAGAACGATCTCCCAAAGTCGAATCCTCTTCCGTGAGTGTTTGCATTTTAAAAAAAAAAAAAACACTGTATCAATGTGGAAGACCGTGGAAAATAATTCGCAGGAGGGAAAAAAAGGAAAGCAATTACTAATCTTAAACAGTAATTCAGTATTTAGATTAATAAGAGGCAAGGAGCCCGATGAGTTCACTGTATCGCTCTGTAGCATTGATTCACATTTGACTTTTATATTAAACATGCAGGGTTGCCCGGTGTTTAGGGGAGGGCATCGCGCTGCAGAAACAGCCCTCAAACTGTGTTTGATAATCAGCCTCTCTGGGATGACTTGTGTAGGCGATAATGCTTTTACAAGCCTGACATTTTGGCCACAGACCGAGCACAACCTCAGAGATGGTGCTTGACAAATGTGTTTTTTTTGAGAGTCAATAAACATGAGATTTCCTGAGTTAAGTTGCAAAAGTATTGTTATAAATACATTTGATAATAATTTAGTACCCTGAGGGTCAGGGGGTCAGGGCGTCAAGAGTTCAGGGCATCAAGGGTCCCTCTCCCTCCTCCCGGAGGCCACAGCACAGTGCGGGGGGTGTCCTTCCTGAACACGCCCTGTCTCTGCGCCCTGCTCGATGGCACTCTCAGAGGCAGCTGGGCGGCTGGCAGTGTGCAGCAGTTGCTGTGCCCTGGGATGGATCTGCTCTAGTTTAATAAGGTTGGTTCTCTTCTTCTTGTCAGCGTGGAAGTGTGGTTGAAACAAACCCGTCTGTGAGCAGGGACTGTGTTGTATGAAGACAAGTGGGAAAGGCGCAAGGCAAATCATTAGCACGAGATCATTAGAGTGGCAACAAAAAGCCTTCAGTCAAAAACAGGACTTTCGGTTTGAAATGGACGTGCAGTTACTTTGAGGATGAAAGCTTGTAAACAACTCAGATCAATATATATGAACTCTAACAGTCACTATTTTGCTTGTAGATAAATCGAAGCTTTAAGTGAGAAAACCATTCTCTTTCCTCTCATTTCAATGTGACAGGTATCTTTCTGACCTCACTGTGCTTTGTAACTTGTCTGTTGTACCATCAACATGGCAGAGGCTTTCATGATATCACATATTGAGTACTGTATAATAGCTTTGGAAAATTGTAAAGCGCATATATATTTGTGTGCTGTGCTATATACAAATATAAAATTATGAGGGTTTGAAGTAGCTGGGACTCACAGTGTTACTGAATGCCTAAATAATGTTTCTTCTCAGTTTTTCAGCTTAAAAAAATGAAACTTAACCATTAAAATAAAACTTAATGGAACAGACAGGAGTTAAAGTCAAACCACAGTGCACACAGAATTGTTTTTCTGATATGGTTACAGATCAATGCCTGTTTGTTTCACACTGATGGGCTCTGTTTCCTCACCAGTAACTGCTACAGATGTTGCTTTCCAGATGTTTGCTTGTACTGTGTCTTGGTTGTTTACAGCAATTAAATCCACCTTCCTCTTGGCCTGTTGTCCACCTTTCCTGTAATTTTAGCAAACTGCTTAACCCTCTCAAAGTCCACCCACTGTTCCTGTCTGTCTGTGGAATAATGTCCAAAAGGTAAATCAAATCATTAAAATACAAAGAAAAGCAAAGCATCTACATTCAGAAAAAATACCAGATATTTTAAACAGGTAGTTTTAAAGTCAGGAGCTCCCTCTGCTTTGCAAAATGAAATATGACTATGCTTTCAGTTTTGACTTTAATAAAGGAAATTCATTTCACACAGATACAGCCTGCCAAACACTGCGCGAATACCTGTTGTTATTCTCTCTCCAAATTAAAAGAGTCTCGCGGATCTGCTTTCATGCAATCACGTTGCCTTGTGGCACTGCAGGTGCTGGTAACTGCAAACTTTCAGTTCCCCTTATTCTTCCTATCAGAAGTACTCACACTAACAGAAACCACCAGAGCGTGGGCTTTCAGATGCTCTTCTGACTGAAGTCATACAACATCTATCATCTCTGAACATGTCTAGAGTCCAGTGTGCTAGAAAAGAAAACCTGGCCGTTTCTTTCCAAGACCTTTGTCAGATCTATTCAAGTTTCCAGGAGTTGTCCAGAGCCAGCTGTAGGACTAAATAGACCCGTCCAACACCTGGGAATATCTAGCAGGACTCCTTTGGCAGGACAAACACAGGAATCCTGGACACATCCTGCCAGACTTGGTGCCGAAAGGATGTCTGATTTTTTTTGTGTGTGATGCTGAAACTGTCAGACTTTAGAAGTTGCACAAGATTTGCCACAAAGACGCTTCGACGAGACACCTGCTTAAAGGAAGTGAAGGCAAGAGCATGTGTTAAGATGGTTAGAAATGGCCAAATAGTAATTTGGTCCACAGGAAGTACCAATAGAGATATAGAACAGAGGGAAAGAAAGCAAAATACTAATGGCTTGGAAAATTTAACATACAGTAGCTGATGCGGACAAGCTACGCTATGTGTAACTGGAGACGTATCTTTCTGAAGTGAAGAAGTGGTGATTGCTATGAGTGAACTGGAATATGAGATTGTCCTATGGGTCTAAAGGAATGTGTGCAGAGAAACATCAGGATTCTCGTTTCTCTCCTCCTCTCTAGATGGAGTTCAGCAGCTGCAGTAAAGTGGGCATGGATTACCCTCTGAGTGAGGAGATAATGAATTACTTAGAACTTTCTCCAAACACAAGTAAGTGGATCAATACAAGGGGATGGCATTTCACCTCTTCAAATGTACCTTTTCACTGTTATTAACAGAAATACATCCTGTCCTCCCATGTCACAGCTCCGAGCTGTACTGTGCGCTGTGCGACAGCATGTCCAGGGAGGAAGTCTGTTGGCAGCCTTCAAGTAAACAGCTGTTGTACTTTAGTTTCAGAAGATGAGAATTTCACACATTGAGTTTTTTCTGATTCTTGGTCAGTAAGATTCAATTTTGTGGCTGCATTATCCATGGCTTTCAGTGCATGAATATTTTACAGCGTGCAGTAGGCTGGTGGCTTAATTGGCTTCTGTGTGTGTGTGGCTGCCCTGCAGTGGACTGATGTACCCGGCTGAGGCTTGAGGCTCCGGGTCTGTGCAGCAGATACAGGATGGGAAGGGTGGCCTGGCGCTGTGCCTGTAACAGGGCACTTGTTTGTCATATCAGCTCACGTCCGCTTGATAAGAATTGACTGCAGGGAACATTAGAACAGGAATCTAATTGATACATTCATAGAGTTACTGTTAATGTCATCGGCAAATCCACGTTTCTCTCTGTTCATCTTGCCTATGAAGTCTTCTAGCTAACAGCTGCGACTATCCAGAGGTAATGACATCAGAGAGACAGCTCAGGAGAGAGAAAGCGCTGAGTCAGACTGGCGCTCCTCCTCCAGGAACGCCAGCAGCGTGTTCAGTGGGGGTCCTGGGGGTCTCTCAGTCAAGGGCCCCTGGATGAGCTGCTGCCCACCAGCAGTGCGCCTGTGACCCTTCTTAACTGCTGACCAAGTATTTCTTCCTGTTCCTTTCAGCACACGAACCCTGCAAGCACATCAAAATTATAGAGCAGCCAAGACAGGTACAGTATGTGCTGCTCCCTACACACCAGCTGGAAGATTTCAGATTACCCAGGATCAAGCTCCCCGAGCAACAGTATTACATAATACTAGGCAACTAAAAACTTCTGGTGTTAAAAAAAATACCTTAATAACTTTCCTACACTACATGTATCAAAAAGCCATTTTGTGGTGTATGGTAAATATGTTTTGGCACCCTTGTGTGGGCTCAGTTAACCCACTGATAGTGCTGTAGTAGCCTTTATTGCTACTGTACTGTAGTTTTGTTGTATTGATGCAGGCAACTAATTAATAAATAATTCTGATCCAAATGGATGTGCAGCTGCACAGTTCCTCTCCTATTGTACACTCGCAAACCAAAGCACACCCTCTCAGATCCAGTCTGCAGGTTTTAAATGAAAAAGATGACGTTAATTTGAGTTACTATGGGTGGAGGTAACCCATCCAGTTCTAGGGAATGATAGGATAGCTGGAAAGATAATAAATCACCTTCGTACAGGTTAATTATGCTGTACTGACAGCTGCAGGCCCAGGGAAGTTCATGCAGGAGAAAGTTTAGCTTAATCAAGCAGTAAAAAGACCACAAAGCCTGGAGCAGTCCTGGAGTTCAGATGGGTGGCAAAATTAATTGTTTTGCTAATATCTGTACTGGTCTTCAACTGTACTTACTAAAATAATGAACAAACGGCTAAACCAGGTTTATCGTGCAGTTCACAGTAAGTCTGCTTTTAGAAAATCTAACCGAAAGTCTGCTTTGCTGAGCTTCCCCATGGTCACCTTTCAGAGAGGGTTTCGTTTCCGGTACGGGTGTGAAGGCCCGACTCACGGAGGTGTGCAAGGAGCCTCCAGTGAGAAGAACAAGAAGACGTTCCCAGCAGTGGAGGTATTAATACATCTCCCCGTACACTGTGCTCTCACACGACACAGAGTCACAGTACACTGCTCTCTCACACGACACAGAGTCACAGTACACTGTGCTCTCACACGACACAGAGT